AGGTCATCCATTTAATAAATAGTGTCAAAGTGTTTTTTTCCCTTGTAATAAAGCAGCAAGACACGTGCCTTGATGGGACCTCATCCCTGGCTGCTGTTGGCCTTGGACAAGTTCTCAGTACTCATCCTTGTGGAACTGGGACTCTAGCAGCACTGTGGCCCCTCTTGGGGTGAAGGCAGAGTCCCAAGCAGTTTATCATATCCATAGGCTGTTTCTGGAGCTTCAGGAAACTCTAGAAGATGTTTACTGAGTCTGTCTGGGAATGGAGGGATAGACCCAGAGTGGGGATGTTTGCTGTCCGTGACCTCTGAGGCCACGGGAACCTGGAGGGTGAGTGAGGTGTGCATCCCAGCTGCAGGTGTTTCTTCCTGCGCCTCAAGGAGCAGTGCTGGGTGCAGCTTCCTCCTGCTGAGTGCCAGCGCCAGCGCACAGGAGCAGTGGCTGTCAGCATCACTAGTGGGCTCTGCAAGGTCACCCACACCCGTGACCATGTCCAGCTTCCTCAGAGACATCTGAGGTTTCTAATGCTTGCCAGCTGTATCTTTTGTGATGATATAGTCTCATTTTCATGGTGAAGGCAGAAGAGTAGTGGTACTGATAATCCAGATCTATCAAAGAGAAACCAAACAGAATGTTCTTTACCTGAAGAGATGAAGTACAGTAAATTTTTTTTAAGAGAAAAGGCCACATTGTGAAACTTTATCACATTGTATTATTGGAATGTTTTCACTCGATTTATCTCTTACTGTGTCTGCAGAATAAGCTTTGTCATTGGCATGTACTCAGAGGAAGAGACCACATATTCAGGGCTCAGTGCTGTCCCAGGCTTCGGGTGCCTAGGGGTCCTGATAGTATCCTGCCCTCCTGCCCTCTACCTTATTTCTGCTCCTCTTCACCAACAGAGTTTTTTTCAAGTACTTTCAGTTTTCTTTTTTATAAAGTGATGCCATCTTATAAAAATTGCTCATCAAAGTAGCAGGCTCTGCCTGTACATTTTAAATGTGTACAGATGAGCATCCAGTGGCTTTCTCCAACAGTGCCTGTCTGTTTGAACTAAACCTTGTGTGGGGGCTGTGTTGTCCGGTGAGGCCTGTTCAACAAAGCAGATCCCATTAGTGTCTCCAAAATCCAAGGTCAACGTTCAAGAATTTTTTTTCCCAGAACTGGGGATTGAACCCAGGACTTTCACACTGAGCTACATCCCTGGTGCTTTTATAGAGCCAGAGTCTTGCTGAATTGTCCAGTCTGGGTTTGAATTTGCAATCCTCCTTCTTCAGCCTCCCAGAGTGTTGGGATGACAGACTTGTGCGAACAGGCTCAGACCAAGGACTTTTTAAAAGTTGCTTTTAGAACCGTGTCTCTTTTAGAAGGAGTTTGCAACGACTTAACGGTATTTTTAAATCCCACTGAAAACTTGAAGTGTGTACATTCCAAAGCAGATGACTATACAGTGTTGAGCCTGTGCATGTTCCCATGTGGTGGGCGCAGCCACTTAAGGGCATCTGTTGCTTCAGTCACTCATATCACAGAGTAGTACCCTGAGCACAGGGAAGAACCAGAAAACCTGGGAAGAATCACTCTTTGCCACCGAAATTACCTTGGCCTATCCTGGTTGGTTCTGTGCTGCTTTGCAGTAATTAAATCCACCCAGACACCAGTGATCCCTGCTTCAGAGGCTCCTGCAGGATCCCAGCCTGCATCCTACAAGAGCGTCTCGACCTGTTTCCGGGTGGGTGTCCAGGAGGTATAAGTGCACTGGGCACGACGAGCACCTTCGACACCAGGCCGCCCACCCGGGCACCTCTCACTCAGCAGACAACTGGGGTGGGGAAGGCTGAGCGAAGGCCCTGCTTCTATTTTTACAAGGCGATCGTCACCGAGCCCGGGCTGGAGGCTCACCGCCAAGTCAAGAGCTCTCTGGGGTTTGGTAACACGGCTCCCTGACCCCACTGGGCAGCAGCAGGGATGCCCACGTGCTCGCTGCATGTAGCTGGAGTGAGGGTCTCAGCTGACACTGCTGCATGGCACTGGCCTAAAGCCACCCATGGTGCTGCACATTAGAATCCCAGCACTCTAGGAAGCTGAGGCAGGAGGATCACTTGCTCAAACCCATCCAGAACAACTTAATAAGAGCCTGTCTTAGAATTTAAAAGGTAATAATACTAAATAAATTTTTCAAAAAGGCTGGGGACGTGGCTTGGTGCAGAGGCCCTGGGTTTAATACCCAGTACCACACAAAGTCCAGTGTCCCAGGTGGAATTTGGGGCCACAGAACTGACACCACTTGGCTCCAGTTGTCTCTAAACCGCGTCCTGCTGTTCACAATGTGTGAAGGTCTTGCCTCGCCCTGGTACAGTGGAGGTATAAGTGCACTGGGCACGACGGGCTAGTCTGTTACCACTTCCAGACTTTGAGCAGATGATATCCCGCCGTCCCGGGGGCCGGCACAGCATCCTCCTTGCTAACTCCAGAAGAGTTTCGCGCTGTTGACACCATTGTGCCCTCCTTCTGATTATTGTTTTATTTTTAAAAGTAATTAGCTATTTGGTGTTTTTTGGGGGGTGTTGTTTGCAATGGAGAAAGGAAAACTGAGGACCTAGGAGGTGGCTTTTCTGAAGAAATCCTTCCCACCTCATTTAAAGGTCTCTGCTTTCTCAGCGTTGCCAGCAGAGGGGCTCGGGGTCCTGTAGGGGCGCAGCTACAGCCTGGCTCATTCTACATCCCAGAGTGGCAGGCACAGGAGCCAGGGGCCTTTCAAGAGTGCCTCAGAAGGCTGGGTCATACCCACAGTGTGAGGCCGGTGCTGCTGTGACTGCCCACTTCACAGATGGGGAAGCTGAGGCCCAGAGAGGCGGGATGGGCAGCCACAGCAATCCCTGCTGATCCACTCTAGAGAGCCTCAGAAGCGCCTGTGCTGAGCCAGGCCTCACTGCAGCTGTGACTTCCAGGCACAGAGCACAGATTGTCGCAGCTGTGCCCCTTAGTACTGATGAGGACGGGGGCCTTGGACAGTTGGTTGCCTGTGCAGTCCCAGAGCACACAGGTGGCTGGGACATGATGGAAACGTGCTGTCCAGCATACCCAGAGCCCCGGACTCCTGCACAGCTCTCCCTGAAACATACCTGTGGGACAAGGAGATGTGGAGAAATGCAAACCTCATGTCAGCGTAATGTGTGACTTTCCTAGGTGAGGCAATGTTCCCTATAATTGCAGGGAAACTCGTGTCAAAGGAACCTGGGGAAGAAAGAGCTCTTGGACCACGGGTGAGGGAGGAGCTGGGCAGCACAGCCAGCACATGGACAAGAGGGTTTGAGCGCACTTGTGTCTCCAGAAAGCATTTAGTAAGGAGCATTCTTAGCTGGGGCACAGAGCCACACTGTCTGGTTTCCACCGAGTTTTATGTTTGTGGACTGACTGTGCCTTGGCCATCTTGGTGGCAGCATACATCACCAGGTGAAGTGACAGTTCTGGAAGAGACAGCTGGTTTCTTCACAAGTGAACAGGAGTTGAGAGCAAGTCCCACAGAGATTGGTAACCCCCTAGAGAGCCCTGTGTCCCAGGCTGGTCCTGCTGCTCAGGAAGAGGTGCTACACCGCTCCTCTCAGTGACTCTGACTCCTTTGTGCCCCAGGGCGACAGTGGGTGCTCCGTGCCGGTGCCCACCTGGCCCACACCCTGTGTGGCAACAGCTGTTCTGGTGGGGACCCACTGCAGTCGAGTTCCCCCTCTAAGAAATCGGGGTTCGCAGCACATGCAGAGACGGAGCCGGGAGAACAGGGTCACTAGGAGTTGACACTCAGCCCCTGGCCCGGCTACCCTGATGTCAGCACTTGGGGGAACACAGATGAGTTGAGGGTTGGTGTGGACCCAGAGGATATTGCGCCAGCCCTGAGCTGCCTGCTGCATCCTCACTGTTCAGGGAGAACTTGGAGCAGGGATTTTCCCAGCCAATCGTCTCAACCGTGTGTTGTTACTGCTGGCCTCGGCCTCACCCTGGCAAGGGGGAGAGGAGCACGTGGGGCGATTGCCTCATCCAGGGAGGACAGGATTGGACTGCTGTGGTGATTTACGACCTGAGGGCCAAGCGTGGGGCAGCCAGGCGGATGGCAGAGGCGGCTGGATAGTCAGGGCACAGCCAGCCAGGATTGGCAGCTGTACCCAGGCCAGGGAGCCCAGCCTGCTGGGGTCAGTGGGCAGCAAGCACGGACAGACTTCTCTGCAGCAGGCAGTCACAATTTAAAATGCCGTCTTGTCCCTCTGATTGCTTTTTTCCTGTGGTTGGGGTAAGATTTTAATTTCTTAAACACATCTTCCTTCCCCTAAAGATCGCATCCGCACTGGCATCCAAGCTGGGAGGGGCTGCCTTTCGGGTCCTCTGGGATCCGTGGGACTGGACCTTGCTTGGAGCTGTCCATTTCCGCTGGTCTGAACAGGACTGGAAAAAAGTGTGACTTGGCTCTGTGGGCAGAAGGGCCGAGTTCTTCCTGTGCCCCTTCGTTGATGTAGACGCTGGCCCTGCTGTCCCTTCCGTGTTCATTTCCACCAGCTTCCTCCTGAGGCTCGGGGAGGGAGGGAGAGAGGGCGGGGCAGCAGTGGTGGAGAGGCCATCAGGGGTGGTTAGGGAAAAGGAATACCGACAGGAAGATGTTCCTGTTACTGTGCTGGGATTGCAGTTGGTTCAGGGGTTGCACGTCAGACCCTGAGACCCTCTGAGACCCTCAGCTATATTCGGGGGTATTCCGTACCCCTAAGCCGGTGGGTGTTGGGCTGCGTGATATACATTTCCGTGAGGCGAGTGTTGTGTTGTCACCCTGCCTGCTGTGCCTGTCAGAGGTAGGAAGGGTAAGTACATGGAGGGCCCTTGTCCTGGGTCCCGGCAGCTGTGCAGAGTGGGTTGCCTGTGGGCAGAGCACTGCTGCTTTTACCTTTCCTGTTACGAAGCCTCTTGTTTTATCTCCTTGGGACACAGCGTTGCTCACATGTCTCCTCTGTGTCTTGCAGGATGTGAAAGTCTTTACCGAGGATGGGACCAGCAGAGTGGTGGAGATCCTAGCAGACATGACAGCCAAGGATCTTTGCCAGCTGCTGGTTTACAGGAGTCACTGTGTGGATGATGACACCTGGACCCTTGTGGAGTACCACTCACAACTGGGATTAGGTAGGTAGTGGCCCAGGGCAGGTGGCACCCGGGGCCTGGCCTGTGATCCGACCGAGATGCTACTGCCTCTGCCGAGGGTGCGGCCATGCTGTGCCCAAGCATTGGCAGTTTCTGTGCTTCCTCGATGCCTCTCACTCCCTCTTCGTGCTGTTTCACTTGTCCTCCCACCCAGCCCTCTGCCCTCTGTCCTGGGACCCCAGCCTTGGCTGAGAGATGTAAGAGGGCTGCTGTGGTCTGACTATCCTGCTGTGGGCTGGGCAGGAGAGAGGCAGCCACCCCACACCGGGATGTGGCTCACCCGAGGATAGGAGGAGAAGACACTGGTTCCAGGACCAGCAGTGGCAGGAATCCCAGGGCCCACGGCTCGTTACAAGGCCATTAATTGTGAGTTTCATGCTTGCACAGCTGTCTCTGAGCTGGTCCTTGAAGCCTGGACAGTGTGTGTGTTATGCCCAGAGCAGGATGATACTTTACATCAGATTGTTTGAAAACATGTGCTGTTGCCAGAACGAGGTATAGCGCTTGCCTTGCCCGTGCTCTATTTCTGTGAAGAAGAATCTCAGCGTCTTGCTGGAGAAGGTTGATGTTCTCACTGGATGAAGCGTAATGATGCAGAGCAGAGGCGTGCACTAGAAATCATTACCCCATCGTGCCCCATGCCTTCAGAGTAACAGACAGGACTTGTGCTGAGTTTCTGCCCCTGTTCTCTTGTCACCGATCCATCTGGCGACAACAGAGATGTCACTAGCAGTGCCTCTTTCCAGTCACATCATCAGAAGCATCTGTGGACGTGCACATGGCTCAGAAAGTAAACAGTGGTGGAAGCCTGCAGGGTGTGTGTCTGTGTGCACGTGTGCATATGAAACTGTCCGAAGAGATCAGTGTAAGAATGATCTGAGTAGTTGCACTCAAATACTGTAAATACTGTGGGAAGCCCATTGAAAAGCTTGAATTTTCTTTCTATCTGAGAGGAAGACTATGTGGAGAAAGCTGTTAGAATGAGTCTATGTAGTTGGATCCAGCTATGGTAAATATTTCAGAAAGTGCCTTCAAAATTCTGACGTGCTGGGCATCGTGGCTTATACTTGTAATCCTCGTGCGGTGGGAGGCTGAGGCAGGAGGATCACAAGTTCAAACCTAGCTAGTGCAACTTAGCCAGCCTGTCTCAAAATAAAAAGGTCTGCGGATGGTTTATTGTGAAGACCCTGGCTTCAATGCCCAGGACTGGGGGAGAAAAAAAAAGCCAGCTTCCTTTTTATGTGAAAGGAACAGTGGAAGGGAATTCTGCAGAATTTTTTTCTCCTGGTGCTCGGAATTGAATGCTAGGCAAGCTCTCTGCCATTAACACATCCCCAGGCAACTTCTGCAGACGTGTTATACATGAGTGTGATTGTACACACTTAACATATGTAGAAAATGGGCATGCACACACTCACATACAGGGAATGTTTCAGAAAGTGTGATTCACATATTTCTTACACTAGCCCTTGATTTCTAGAGCATCACCCAGTAGTAATGAAAACCTTGAAAGTGACAGGCTGAGTACTTTCTTCCTTGAGAGAGAGAGAGAGAGAGAGAGAGAGAGAACAGCCTTCTCCAGGCCCACAGAGCCATCAGGATTAGGGTTCTTCCGGACTCGTTGTTCTTTCTCCCATTCACAGGCATACTTAGCACACTTTAAAGGAGATGGTGCTTTATTTTAAAATTTAAAAGGTGAAAGTGAAAAAAGGAAAATGAGTGAAATGATTTTTTAAACTTGGGTCTTTTTTGACAAGAAGAAATTCATCTACATGACTGGAATCTGGAGACACTTGAGGTCCCTGACACAGCAGCCCTTATCTTCCCAACCCCAGTTCCCTTCTTGCTGGGGACCAGGGAGCCCATTGTCCCCTGGGCTGCATTTCAGAAGGGCCAGGCCAGGCATCAGTCCCCATGCTGGGAGCCAGTGCCCGGGGCGTTGCAAGCCTGCCAATTAACTTTTCTATAGTTGAGTTGCTACTTAGGAGAAGTCCTCTTCTGCTGTGATTTTATGCCAGAGAAACCGTAGGCACTGCAGGGTCCCCTTCAGGAAGTCCTGGCCTGCACTGTGGACCTGAGGAGCAGCCCTGTAAGGGCCCCTGTGTGGAAGCTGCCTCAGGCACACCTGCGTCCACTGGTGCCCCATCAGGCTCCCTGTGCCCTGCATCCTCGGCCTGGCCAGGCGGAAGGAAGTGACTCTGTCAGGCCGTTACACATCTGGACTTCTCACAGGGACATAGACATGCCCAGGGCTGCTGGCTTGGGCCAAGGAGGCAGTGCCTGCCCATTCTGAGCCAGGGACTTTTCTGTTGGCTGGCATTCGGCAGCAGCATTCACTGTATTTTTGTTGTAAAGACACTCAGGAAAGGATTTTCAGAGCTGCTTCACAAAGTGGTCAGAACGACGGAATGAGTGTGTCTGAAGCAAGAGAGGGATCTTAAGGAAGAACCATGCCTTTCGCTTGTTACAGTCTCTTCTTCACAAGAGTTGGAGCATCTTATGGTGAAGACACGTGGCTTTCTCTTTACCCAGTGGAGGAAAAAGGCTATAAAAGTCTGTCCTGGTCTGAATTCGGTATTTGGTGTATTTTCAGATCTCTTAGGCACTGGGAAGTACATGAAAGAGATTTAAACCTAGTTTAGTTCCTGACCTCACTTTCATTTGCTTGGGTAAAGACAGGAAGTCTGGTCAAGTTTGTAACTGGTGTACAGGAAGCTGCCTGGACTGTTTCTCCTTCCCCATCTCATGTGGCACTTTTCCCCTGCAGAAAGATACTTGGAAGACCACGAGCTGGTGGCCCAGGTGGAGGCCTCCATGGCAAGTGAGAGTAAACTGATATTCAGGAAGAATTATGCAAAATACGAGTTTTTTAAGAATCCGAAGGTGAGTCTTCTCTCTTGACATTTGGGGTTTAGGATTCTTGAAATCTTAGTCTGCTTGAAGGTAACATCAGATTATGACACAACTAACTGGGCTTTGTGGGGCAGCTGATGGGTAGGAGAATCTAAACTGCTGTTTAATGAAGTGATCCTTGCTTAGAACAGTCAGTGGTGTTTACCTATCGCTGTGACTACCTTAAAGGTGGCTGTCTTCCCTCAAATAGTAACAATGGGGGCCGGGGATTTAGCTCAGCAGTTCGGTGGCCTGCCTTGCAAGCGCAAGGACCCAAGTTCAATCCCCAGTACAAAAAAAAAAATAGTAACATTGGGAAGGTCATTGGTCACTAAGTTGCAGAAGAGCCGAAAAGCCAGGCTTTCATGGTCCTTTGCAAAGCTCTTTTTAAAAATTATCAGTCCATGTTTGAAATACGCAATGATCACATTTGTTGTGTGTTACTGGTGCATCTACTTAACACCTCTCCATTCTTTTTCCAACTCCTTTCCACCGCCCTGTCTCTAGATCTCCTTGCCATCTACAAAAGATCGAGCTCCCTGTTTCCCATTATCTGTCATTTATTTTGTTCTTTATAATCTGAGGTTTCTTGTAGAAAAGAAAACCATGCAGTTATTTAAGTGTGTGTGGCTGACATATTTCACTTAACATTATGGTCTCAAGGTACATCCATTTCCTTACAAGTGACTCAAGTTTATCCTTCTTTATAGCTGAGTAGTACGCCATAGTGTATCAACACCACATTTTCTTTATCCATTCATCTATTGTATTTGCAAAGTTCTAAATTGGAACAAATTGGCGAAATACTTAGCAGGAAAAAAATACTCCTGTGCAAGTATATCTTATGGTTCTATGTGGAAAAATCTGACTGATTGGGGTGCTGCTGTCACCTCCTTGATTTTTCTTTCCTCTTCTTTTTGGAGAGCTGATTGTCCTGTGACACACTGGGCCAGGGACCCTCATAACTCTATAGCACTTGGAGCCAAGTGGTAGCAACTTGGGAAAAAAGACCCGGGTCCATGTACGCCTCTGCCAAGTTGCTGCTTTTTCATGAAGGAGAAAAACACTTGACAATTCTTTCTGGGTCATTCAGCAGGAAGGGCTTTTACATACAGTGGTGCTCACCTGGTGGCTCAGAAAGCTATCTCCTGCCACCAAATTATGACTCTGGTGACATCCTTGCCTCAGTGCCCACTGGAAAGCATGAATTTCATGGGAACCACAGTAGATGTCCGCAAAGTGCATCCCACACGACAGCTGGACACACGTGTTGAAGTAGGTGTCCGTGCTGTGTGAGGGAACCCAGAGGCCTGTGTTTTAAAATGCAGACATGCAGCACCATGCTTTAGGGATGCCTCTAACCTGCAGACTGGTGTACCCCACCACACACACACACACACACACACACACACACACACTGTGAGGCTAACCCTTTACATACGTGATACACACACACACACACACACACACACACACACACACACACACACACACACTGTGAGGCTAACCTTTTACATACGTGATTTTCTGTTTCCTTAGAACTTCTTCCCAGAACAAATGGTCACCTGGTGCCAGCCATCCAATGGGAGTCAGACCCAGCTGTTGCAGGTAGTGAGCAGACGCAGGAATTCTAGATGAAACCCTCCCAGCTGCACGGCAGCTTGAGAGATTTGAAGAGGTTGCGTCTTTCCTCACATTGACCTTGTCTCCGCATGGGGTTTGGGGTGACCAGAAATCAGGGTGTGCTTGTTAAATCTGTATGGAGCCAGGCTCCTTCGTGGCAACACTGGGGGACACTGCCTCGGGCACAGAAGCAGTCTGAGTAGTGCCGGCGCCCAGTGCATTTCCCTCCGAGCAGGATGGAGCAGCCAAGGTCCTGCCTGGAGCCTGGTCCTCCAACAGGCGCTGCCACCTGCTGGAAAACTGCAACCAAAATGCTGAGCCCTCTTCATAGGGTAAAGGATGAGGTTTCTTCAGAGTCCTTGAGAAGGAACTTACTATACATTAAAATTAAGGAAACCGGGGCCAGGGATTTAGCTCAGTGGCACCACACCTGCCTTGCAAGCACAAGGTCCTGAGTTTGATCTCCCGGTACCAGAAAAAAAAAAAAAAATCAGGAAAACAATTTGAATTGTTCCTCTACTTTCTAAAGTCTTAAGAAAAGCTGGTCTTTTCCATCTCCTTACCAGGGAAAGGGACACAGAGACTCTGGGCTTAGCACTAACTCACTGAGTTCATTCTGTGGGTGGAGCAAGAATGGGAAAGGGAGTTTCACTGCCACCCCCAAACTTGTGTTTGTGTGTGACTTAGCACACAAGAAAACAAGCTGCTCCCAGAGCAGCCAACAGCGGCGGGCCCACATCACATGAGAAAATGAGCTCAGTGCCTACAGAATTTTTCCATAGCCCCTTCTTTTTCTGCTTTGTGATCACCAGGTGTTTTTACTGCCTCAAAGTTAAGAGCTTCGGAGGTGTTGATCTGGACTCAAAACCCACCCAGCCCACTCCCTAGTAGCATAGCATTCATCAGGAGAGGTCAACGCTTGAATACCACTTGCTCTTTTTTTTTCCCCCCCAGTAACAGGGATTGAACCCAGGACCTTTGCACTGAGCTCCTTCCTAGTACATTTTTGTCTACTTTGACAGAGTCTAAGTTGCCATCCTCCTGCCGTGAAGGGACAATAGGTGTGTCCCGTCACGCCAGCCTGCCCACTCGCTTTTCACTGCATTGACTATGCGAGGATTTGTGTGCATGACAAGGGCAGGCAGTGATCGCTGGAGACCCTAAAGGGACTGTACCCAGGGGCTCCAGGGCTATCCTACCTGCACAGAGAGAGCTGTTTCTGCTCCCAGCCCCAACAGAGGACATGCTAAGGTCACAGCCCTGACTTGATTTGTGACCAGCCTCTTGGCTTCTCCTTCACATAAAAATGTTTTGTTTTTGTTTTTTTAAAAAAAAAACATTACTCATATGGCTGCTTGATGGTAGAGTTACCTGGGACAGCAAGGCATCACTGAGGTGTACCAGGCACTTCCTGTACGGACAGAAGCCCTTCCGGCTTCTGTGTCAGGAGGGCACTGGGTCAGCGTGGCAGCGAGTGCTTGGCCACAGCGATCTCCGATGGCTCCTGCCGCTTGCTCTTCCCTAATACGTGAGATACCTTCCAGAAATTTGAAATAAGGTGCAAAGTCCTGTGGCACCCTCTCATGTAAGGAGACAGGACTGCATTTTCACCGATGGTAGCAAGGGCTGTCTGCCTGCTCATGTCTCAGTACTGATTGTGTCCATGTCCCGCGGTGGCAATTTGGATGGGGTCTGACCTTGGAAAGAGAGACCAAAACAGAGAGAGAAGAGAGTATTTCCATGATTTAGTAAATATCAGCCATGCATATTAACCGTGTTTATTTTAATTATTTTATACTAACATCTTTTTAAAAAAATTCACCCTTCTCTAGAATTTCCTGAACTCCAATAGTTGTCCTGAAATTCAAGGCTTTCTGCATGTGAAGGACCTGGGGAGGAAGTCATGGAAGAGGCTATATGTGTGCTTGCGTCGGTCGGGCCTGTACTATTCCACCAAGGGAACCTCGAAGGTAAGTTCTCTGCCCAGGCTGGGTGAGCGCAGAGTGACTTCCTGCCAGCTGGTGATGGCATGTTCCTGGGCTAGTGGGGAGGAGCCGAACAGAGAAAGCAGCTGCTGGTCTGCCTCCTGGGCTGCCGCTTACGTAGACCTGGGATGCTGGGCCCCATGCTTCCACACTCTAGACTCCCTGCCTGCACTGCGATCACCTTGGTTCTCGTGATATGGAAGTTGGGGTGTCAGCTGGCCATCAGGATGTCTGGTGGTTCATTGGCACCCCAGAGCCAGTCATGTCACTGCAGATACAGTCTGCAGTCAGCAGCAGCAACAGCAGTGTGTGTGTCTGTGTGTGTGCGAGAGTGCATGCCCGAGTGCGTGCCCAGGGGTAAGAGGAGGTGCAAAGTAGCTGCAGACCTCAGAAGCAGGCTGGTGACACTGTAGATCTCACCAGGTTCTCCTGTGTCAGCTCCCAGCACTCAGTGCCCACGCTTTTCTTATGACTACCCATGTATGCCCCGGCCAAGCATTTGCCGGACTTCAGGGTAGGAGCCAGAGAGAAGGGGCATTGCGTTGTCTTGAGAGGCTGTGAGGTGTGGTGGGGCAGAGCAGGGAACTTTCCACCTTTCCGTTTTGTGGTTTCCTTGCCATCCCCAAGCCAGGAACAGTTTGTAGTCCTGAACAGGAAGCAGACTTGGCTGGAGCGTCGGGAGAAGGTGGACTGTGTTAGTCACTTTCCACCCTGGGATGGAATACCTGACAACACAACATAAAGGACAGCTTGCTTTTGGCTCATGGTTTAGTCCATGATCTTCTGGCTCTGAGCAGGAACAGGATGGCAGAGGGGAGGGAAAGCACTCAGCCTGTGACAGCCAGGAAGGAGAAAGGGAAGGGAGGAGCTGGGGATGGAACCACAGCCTTCCAGATCACGCCCCAGTGACCAGCTCCAACCAGCATAGTCAGCCCTGAACTCGTCTGTGGTGAGCCCACTGATGAGCACAGTACCCTGTGATCTGTCACCTTCCATGCACAAGGGGCTTAAGTGTTACATATGTCCCAGCCATCTCGTGCCTGGGAATTTGAGAGTTGGGGTTTGCGTGGGTTTGGGTTTAATCCAGCCCTGAGCTGGCAGAAGGAAGATGGTATAAATATGCCCAGCTGCCTGCTGCTCTCCAGTACAGTGGAGCAGCTGTGCTTTACTGTGCTGGGAACGTGCACCTGAGCTTATACCTGGCCTGCTGTCACAGGAGCCCAGGCACCTGCAGCTGCTATCTGACCTGGAGGACAGCAACATCTTCTCCCTGGTTTCTGCGAAGAAGCAGTATGGTGCCCCTACGGACCATGGGCTCTGCATTAAGGTACACATCGCACCTGAGGCTGAGGCAGGCTGGGGCTGGAATTGAGTCAGTGGGTTCCCCAGCACGTGATGGCTGCTGCTTTTTGTTTGTTTCTTACTTATATTCTGCAACACTGGGGAGTGAAGCCCCCTTTTTATTTTTTTATTTTTGATTTTGAGACAGGGTCTTCCTAATTTGCCCAGGCTGCCCTACCAGCGTGCTGGGACTACAGGCGTGAATCACCATACTCCACTGTTTCTTTTATTTTTTAACAGGAGCACAGCTTCACACTGGATTTATTTCATTCCTGTAAAAACATTAGTGTGTTTTTGGCTTGTCAGTCCTGGACTGCCTTAGGGCCAGGTACCCTGTGGCTGGGCTGTGGCTGTAGCTTAATATAGTAGTGGGAAGAGAGGACTGCTTAGGGGAGGAGGCCCCTGGTGGCCTTTGGGGAGTGTCTGGCACCTTCCTTGTGGGCTTCCGGTCATGAGGATGGTTACATAGGAATGACCACAGCCCACGCTCTGTGTGCATGTGAGTGAAAGCATGCAAGCATATATATACATGTGTGTATAAGGAGCTACACACATGTGTGTGTGCACTGACAACACACATGTGCCCACAAATCAGTACTCATGTACTGTGTTAGCACATACAGTCCCACATACACACATGGGTATATTCGTGCACACCTGTTCATCACCCCGAGGAGGGTGTGGTAGTGTAGGGTGGTGGCCAAAGCAGTACCCCCCACAGCACTGATGCTGAAGTTGGGGCCCGGAATTCACATAGACACCAGGTAGGTTTCACCTGTGACTTCCTGTCTCTCACCACACAACCCCACCCTTGCCAGGCAAACCTACCATCTCTGCATGGGCACAGGAGCTATGAAACGTCCCCAGCTGCCCCAGGTTATCTGCCACCACCTCTGTCCCCACTGTGGGTGGCATTGGTCTCACTCATTGGGCTTTCACTTGGACTGCACACTGGGGCCACTGAGGCACCCACAATCCCAGAGCTCTTTGTTGGAGCCCCTCACTGGCTCCCAGCCACCTTGCCAGCCCTCCCAGGAGGTGACTTTGGGGACCTTTCTGCCACAACTGAGGCCACTGTCCCACAGAAAGTCTGCCTGTCCCTGGATGAGGCGACGCCTCTTCCCCAGTTCCTCCAGTGGCTCTGGGATGGTTTGCTCTGCGGTCTCACTGCACCCATCCCAGCCAGGGAGGCTCAGCCGAGGACAGTCAGCTGCCACCGAGAATGTCACAAGGTGGCTGTGGGCCCCGCTTTGTGTTTGTGTGGTGACGCACAGCTGGTGGCCTGCCTGGTGTGTTTCCTCCTCACTGAACCATGCTAACTGGATGCTCTCTGATTTGCAGCCAAACAAGGTCAGGAACGAGAACAAGGAGCTGAGGCTGCTGTGTGCTGAGGACGAACAGGGCCGTATGTGCTGGATGACGGCGTTTAGGCTGCTCAAGGTAGCAAGGCAGGGCAGGGACCGGGCTGGGCTTTGCCCTGGTATCACTATCCACAGTTGTTCGTGGTGCTGAGGACTAACACCAGGGCCTTCACACTGAGCTTCATCTGCAGTCCCTTTTTATTTTTTTATTTTTTTTTATTTTGAGACAGAGTGTCAGTAAGTTGCCTAGACTGGGCTCAAGCTTGAGTTCCTCCTGCCTCGGCCTCTTAAGAGTGCTGGGATGACAGGAGTGTGCCACCACACCACTTGTCTGGGTTTCGTTACTCTAACACAGTACCCGAAGCAGGCTGCCTTATAAAGAAAACAGGTTTCTCCATCTACAGTCTGGAGGTCCCCAGGTACAGTGCTAGCCTCGACTCAGCTATGGTGTGGGCTCTGTTGTCATACCATCACAGGTGACAGTGGCAGGGGCACACATGGCAGGAGGAAGTCCCATCTCCTGATGGACAGGCAGAGAGCCTGGGGTTACAGAGTCCTCCTGCAGGACTGGCCCCAGGGATCACGATCCTCCTGCAAGGCTGTACCTCCTGAGGCACCACAAGGGACCTGCCCTGAACTTGAAGGGGACAAACCACAACCACACTGTACAGCTTTGAGGGAGGCCAGCAGCTCCTAACCCTGAGTAGTCTGTGCTTCCAAAATCCAGGGCTGCTGGAGACATAACAGACTGGGTGGCTTTCTGAAGCCAGCGTCTCTTAACTGTGAGTCCTAGACAGTTTTACTGCACGAGGCCCCACAGGAAGCTTCGTACAATGATGTACACCTGTAATCCCAGTACCTTGGGAGACTGAGGCAGGAGGATCAGAAGTTGAAGCCCTACCTGGGCAACTTAAGACCTTGTCTCCAAATGTGAAAATAAAAATTTAAATTTAGTAAAAAGGGGCTGGGGATTTAGTTCAGTGGTGCTGCCACCTGCCTCGTAAGTGCAAGGTCCTGAGTTCAATCCCTGTTACAAAAAACAAAGTTAAATACAATAAAAATTGGATGGGATGTACCTCAGTGTAAAGGGCCTGGGTTCAATCCCTAGTACAACAAAAGACAAGAAAAGAAGAGGAAGGAAGGCTGTAAGGCTATAATAAATAGGAAAGACAAGGTAGGGAAGGATGGCTACAGATGGGCACCATGCAGAGAAAACGTTTTAGATTTGTGTATATAGTTGGTTTTCTTAATCTGCCAATGAACAATTGATTTTTAAAATGAGAGGAAAGTGATAGTGCACTCAGTGAAGCTGCAAATTTTGTTATGTTGGCTGACAGATGGACAATCCAGTCAGCAAGCTCTTCGCCATCATCTCATGAGCAGATGAGCAGTTGGTCCCTTCTGTTCCCTTTTGTCCCATGCCGGAACGAGCTGCAGGACAGGAAGTAGGCAAGCTTGCGCTGACAATGCTGGTAGCCTTTGTGATTGGACTGTGCTGTGTTGCACGCTGTGCTAATGGTAACCTCACCTCACTGACATCTGCTGAGTGTTGACACTGGCTCTGCACACCCATCACCTGTCACCTCCCTGTGGCAGCTGTGTGCTGTGCGTATTGTCATCCTACCATTTCCCTGATGGCAGCACAGGCCCAGGCATGGCTGCTGGGTTATGGCAACACACTAGAAGTTGTGGATCCATTTCTGCTATAGTTGCCACGTCCCAGCCACACTTCAGGGAACATTTTTGACCCAGTGGTCCACAGATATCAGTGTCTTCAAGGGGGCCAGGCTTGATGCGGTGGGAGATGACATAAGGACCTTCTCACTGGTTTATTTTCTTCTGCAAATTCGCCCATTCCATTGTTGTCTGGGTCTCATCATTTGCGTGAAAATGTCAGCCATCATCTGTCCTCTGGTGCTTCTGTGAAGATAATAGTTTTTCTGTGGTTGGTTTTGACATTTCTTGTCTGTTTTTGAGCACTCTTCCCATGATGTGCCTGGGTTTGATCTTGCATCCTACTCATTGACCCTGTAGTCTGATGTCTTTTTAAAGTAGCCATTACCTTATTGCTGTAAATATTTCCCCTGGCCTATTCTTGCTCTTCTCCAGGGCAGTGCAGTTATCCTTACTCACTGTTAGTGCATAGACCATCGCATCCCATTCTGAATGTTTTTTTAGAACTGTATACAACTGTAGAAACTAGAGCCAGAGCAGAGCTTATGTCCCCTGAGCAAGGTAAAGGGAACATGCAGCCCACTTCATAACTTCATTTCCTCTTTGTGAATTTTTTTATTTCATTTTGCAAGTAGGTGGTTTGAGCTAGTACTTGGGGAGTGTTGGCTGACACATGTGCAAGACTTTTCAGAGCCCCTAGTCCTTATTCCCAAGATGAATAACACAACTGCTAAGCTGGCTGAGCAATAATCCTGGTTATTGGAGGGTTTATTGCTAGAACAAGATACCTGACACCCTCCAGTTTGAACAAGAGCTTTATTTTGGCTCATACTTTTAGTCCATGGTCAGCTGGCTCTGAGCCAGAAATAGCACGACAGAGGAGCATTGGGGGTGAGAGTATGCTCCACCTATAGCCAAAAGCAGAGAGAGAAGGGAGGAGCCAGGGACAGGGATGCACCCTCCCAAGTCACACCCCAGTGACTGCCTTCAACCAGGCCTCTCCTCTGCACGGCAGTCAGCCAGGGACTAACACATCCTTGAATGAATCGCCTGATGAGCACAGTGACCCCTGATCCAATCACCTTCCACGCACACAACACTTTAGGGGGACATTTTAGATCTAAACCATAATAGGGAGCACTAGTTTTGGAACAGGATGTACGTATGAATCCCAAGTCCTTACTCTCCCATGTCCTTGGGATACTTGCTTTACTCCTGTGCTTCTGGTGCCATTATCAGTAAAAGGAGAATAATGACACTATGTGGCTCGTAAGGGGGAGGATGAAGTAGTATCATAAACCACTTGGGACAGTACTGGGCCTGTAGCATCACTCACCTTCCTGGCCTGATCATTTCCTTCCTACCATCCAAAGAACTGAGTAGAACTGGGACAAATGTGCTGTCCTGAATGTGCCTCAGTTCACAGGGGTTTCGACACCATTGCTCCCTGTTGTGTCCTGGCTATGGCATTTGTCTTACCCTGGGATGTGGGCGTGGGTGACCCTTGCTTCCCGCACTTACTGGCCTTTCCCCCACAGTATGGAATGCTCCTCTACCAGAACTACCGCGTCCCTTATGATAGGAAAACCATGCTGTCTCCCTTCTCTGCGCCAGTGGTAAGTAGAACTGTGCCAGTCCCAGACTTACATTTTTCCAGGAGATGGCTTGCATTGTCTCAGCAGCACTCGTGCAGGGAGGACAGTTCTCCAACAGTTTCTCTCCATCCCTGCACATGCACTCATGGTTATTGGGAACTGTGGCTCTTTACATGCCCAACACTGTCCAGAGCAACTTTGGCTTCTGTAGATCTACTTTTCCTACCTTTGACTTTGGTCCTTGAGCCAGGGGCCCATGGTGCTGACCTTTGTGCTGAAAATCTCTGGTAAGAATTTAGAGATTAGAAGCACTCTTCTTGTGTCCCTGGTGTTACCCCTTGCTTGCTTCCTAGAGGTGCAGGCACACGTCATCTGATGAGATGGCAGATAACATCGCGCAGGCAGGTCACCTTGGAGACCTGACCTGGCACAGCTGAGGGCATGATGTACGGGTGAGGATGCAGCTCCATGCTGTCTCTGTGTCCCGGGTGGGCTTTAGCAAAGGACTGCACAGCCCAAATCCTACTGGCACCAAATGGCCTCACAGGGAGCCTTTGTACCATGAGGAAGATAGGAAAGGTTCTTACTTTTTCTTAATAAAACCCAAAGCCATTTTGAACACATTGGCCCTCTAACCGCTGAATTTTCAACCTGAACCAGTGAATTCTAAACCTGAATCTTAGCAAGTGTGGGGGATCCTCCGCGATTCCCATGGCTGCTGCATGGTTGACTGTCCTGCACCTCAAGAACTCGTGGCCTTTCCTTTCCAGCGCAGTGTCTCTGAGAACTCCCTGGTGGCAATGGATTTTTCTGGGCAAACAGGAAGAGTGATAAATAACCCGGTGGAAGCCCGCAGCGCCGCCCTGGAAGAGGGCCATGCCTGGCGGGTAAGGCTCAGCCCAACTCTGCCTGGACAGGCTGCCTGGCAGATGCTACCCTGACCTGGTCTCCTCCCAGAAGAGCAGCTGTGGGGAGAGGTGGGCAGAGGACCTGCAGCAGCTGGCCGGTGGGTCCCCCCACTTCAGCACTGGCCCCTGCAGAAGGATAGGAGAGGAGCCCTGTGTCCACTTTGGCTCATGGGCGGAGATGCCCCTGCTGATGAACTGTCTTGGCTGTCCATGGCAGGCACAGGGCCAGGCCTGATGGAGGCCAGCAGGTGTCCACATCAGGGCTCTACCAGGGGAGAGGCGCCTCCAGGGCTAGAGTCCTGTGTCTCTAGATAGGAGGATCCCACCACCTTTCACATTTTCCTGAGACTTAAAGACTACATGGAAAACAGAGCCCAGAGCTCTGGCTTGGAAAGTGCTCCCTGTCCCCTAGCCTCCAAGTGCGAGGAGGAGATGAAGGTCCCCAAGTTCAGGGACTGAGAGACACCAAGTTCTATCACTAGTTCCTGCTTTGGGGCCCGTTAGTTGGGGTTCCACCGTGCACCCTGTGTGAAAAGAGAGCCTTTGCTTCTACATTCAGACTGCTGGAGATGCCCAGGGCGGTGTGGGCTGTTTTTAACCAGTGTTAGCCACACTTTTCATTCTCAGTGGTCAAATGGAGCTCTCATGGGATCAGCAACCCCACCAGACACCCTGCCCTGGCTCCATGCAGGGTGACTGATTGGTCTTTCTGTCTCCTGTGTTGAGTGCTGGCGCTGACAACAGTATTTTCTTTTGCAGAAGCGCAGCACACGGATGAATATTCTGGGAAGCCAAAGTCCCCTTCACCCTTCCACCCTCAGCACAGGTAAGCATGCCAGCTGCTTGATGTTGTGGGACATAAAGATGAGGAGACTTCCCTGCCCTCCCTGAGCTTCACAGCACTGCCTGGGCTGGGGCAACTCAAAGGCTCAGGGGGCAAGCATCGGGCAAGCCCCAGGGAGGCCAAGTGTGCAGCACCCTCCTTGTACTCTCCCACAGTGATTCACAGGACCCAGCACTGGTTCCATGGCAGGATCACCAGGGAGGAATCGCACAGGATTATCAGGCAGCAGGGTCTCGTGGACGGGTAAGGAGCCCCCATCAGCTCTGTGCCGGGCCCTGTTGTCTCATCCCTCAGATGTCCTCATGGGCAGGCAGTGGTCTCAGCCTCCTTTTAAAGAAGAGAAAATCTAGGCTCAGAGATGTTAAGTGCTGGGCAGGGCTTGCCCAGTTGATGAAGAGCAGAAGGGGAGGGATTCTAATCCATATCTATCCATATCGTGTCTAGAATTTCCTCTGCCTCTTTGATGAGGTTGGAACCCATAGAGAAAACTGAGCTCATCATTTTTACTTCCAAGGCAGTGGACACAGAGAAAAATAATTTTGCCTACGCTTTTGGTTATGCTCTGTGTCAGCTTTTGCAGAAAGTAGCCTCAAACCATAATGGCTGAGCCTACAAAGATGTGTTATATCTCCCAGTCGTGCTTGGTCGGGTGGCCCCTCTCCCTGGGCCAGCTGAGGGGGCCAGGGCAACCCTGGATGGCTTCACTTCTGTGTGGGTGGACAGTGGGGTCTGCTGGCCAGGGTGATGGTGACTGTGCACAGGTTTGCGGTGGGTTAGCCTGGGATCATTCATGCCATTGGATCATTGACCAGAGCAGACCCTGCCCCCCAGAGGCCTCTGCATGACCATGGAGATGTCTGCCTGTTGTGTGGCTGCAGAGACATATGACTGGCTAGGAGCAGAGGCCGCAATAGGTGATACAGCAGAGCACAGCTTCTGAATGCCATTTGTCCAGAGCTAAGGACAAAGACGGGTCCTCCCTGCAGAGCTAGAGGTCTCCATCCACAGCAGGCACACTCAGGCTCTGTCTGCTCCTTGCTGACCTAGGGTGTCCCTTCCTATGTCCCCCGTTGCTCTCGTCCCTGGACAGAGGTGGTGAGAGGTTGACCACGGCACCCTCTGGTGAGCGTGTACTTTTGGGCTGGAGCTACATGGTCAGCTGCCTTGGGGACAAGCACATGAAGTCAGGTTGTCCTCCAGGTCACCTCAGGGCTGAGCAGTGGCTTTACATGCCACCAGCTGCAACTTCTCCAGTAGTCACTGGTCAGTATCCACCTGGGGACTTAGAATTGTCCTTTTCTACTTCTGTGACGCCCTCATCATTTATTAGCTGGATTGCTTTTCCTCTTCAAATACTCTGTTTCCTGGACAGAGTAACAATGCTTGATTTTGTCTTTTATTTGTCAGTTTCCAGAGGCATGAGTTGGAGTTCTGCCATCTGTGCTTGTGTTTGTTATGAAGAGTCACTCTGGATTTAGACCTTTGTGCATTTAATTTATTTCTGTGAAAATTTCTTCTTCACGCTCCATGCCCCTCTCTGGCCAGTGGATGCCTTGCACATTGGCTCCTGAGTTCTTTTGATCCCGCATTATTAGGGTTTAATTTCAGGTGTGTTCAGATGGATGGGCTCAATGACACAGTCCTCGTGGGAGTCCTGATTCTTTCTAATGGGAGATGTTTTCCTGAGGCTACAGCCTTTAGATCTTTTCAGTAGACAGAGCTGTGGTGGCCCGGAGTCTTACACATCCTAGGAAAGCACTCTACCACCGAGCTATACTCCAGTCCTGTACTTTTTTAAAAAACCGTAACAATAAGTTGCGGATTTCACACTGATATTGCCAACTCAAATTTAAATTACTAAGTTTTTATTTCTCTAATTTTGTTGTTTCTGCCATGTCTGTGTGTGCGTGTGTGTGTGTGTGTGTGTGTGTGTGTAAGTGCATGTGTATGTGCGTTACTGCAAATTAAACACAGGGCCTTTGCACTGAGCTATATCCTCATCACCCAGCCTGTTCTTAATTTTGAGACAGGGTCTAAGTTGCCCAGGCTGGGCTCAAAATTGTGATCCTCCTACTTCAGCTTACCAAGTGCTGAAATTACTGTTTCTTTTTTATTCTGAAGGTCTTGGTTGGCATTAACTTTTTTGATAGATATATAGATCAAATGATTATTTTGAAAATACTCATTCAGATATTAATTCAGTAAGATTCTTCAATTGAAATTTTTTGGCAGGCTTCTGACCCTTAAAGAATATTCTAGGCTGGTTATAGTAGCATTTTTCAAGTCACTTAAGTCATTCTTCCTTGTGCTTCTACCACCAAACTGTTGGTCAGGTATGTTTGTTCCAGTTGATGTTCTGAGGGACTCTGATTTATTTTTTGTTGGATAGTGCTTTTTAAATTAGATAAAACATTTGTCTGGCTTCAAAGTCAGAACTATAGGGCTGGAGATTTTTAGCTCAGTGGTTCTGCCACCTGCCTCACAAGCACAAGGACCCAATTTCCAACCCCAGTACCAAAAAAAAAAAAAAAAAAAAAATCAGAACTATAAAACAAGACACATTCCCTGTCAGCTCCACCCCCAACACACACTAGTAACCACTTTTAGTATTTTTCTTCCTCTCATTTCTTTTTCAAAATATAAACAAAATGAGTTCATTTTTCTAAATGGGTTGATATATCTTAAGTATAGTATCACACGTTTTCCACATTTCCTATGTGAGTGACAGTTTTCCCACAGCCATTTCTATCCCAGAGCAAGGTCATCGTGTGCATTTCTTTCTCCTGAAGGACATGGAGCTTCCTATAAGCACAAGGGGTGGTTAGATTTCTTTTTTATAGTTCTTACCAGTTTCTAAACATTGTAGATTTTTTTTCCTACACTCCTGAATCATGTAGTTCATTCATGTTATCTTGTAATACTTGGAGTCCATCCTTCCTTCCTTCTTTTTTCCCTTTCTCTCTTCCATCCTTTCTTTCTTCCTTCCTTACTTGTTTGTACATTCTATGCTCTATTTAGACCCTAAGATGCATTGGGAGTGTACTAATCCTCGCATAATGTGTGAAGAATGGGTGTTACTTTGTTTTCTGTGCAGCTGTAAGATTGTTACAAAACCCCTGGCCTGCAATGCCACTGGTATTATGGAGCAGCCTCTTTCAAACCATTAGAGAAGACTCCTCCTTCAGCTGTAGAAAAGATTCATCATCTCTAAAGTTTCTGTCCTGTCAAAGGAGAGAAAAGGCAAACATTTAAGATTTCTTTTTTTGGCATTTTTTTTTACTCAGGGGTATTTGGGTTTTCCTAGGCCTGTTTATAGCTGTGAACCCCATCAGAAGTAGGCCCAGAGTGTTCTGTGGTGGTCATTGTGAACCTCCGTCTGTGGGACTCATTAGGAGACTGTGCTGGACCCCTTGCGGGTGACATCACAGAGTTGGGAAAGCAAAGGTTCCACAAGGCCATATGTGGTGCTTTGGCCTCTAAGTGTCCCATCCAAGGCAGTGGCAGGCCCAGGATGTGGGAGCATTCACAGTAACAGTGCAGGCTGCCAGAAATGATGGTGCCCATGTATAATCTCAGCACTAGGGAAACTGAGGCAGGAAGATCTCGGGGACTTCTAGGCCATCTTGGTCTACTTAGTGCATTGAAGGATAGCCTGAACTATATAAAGAGACCATCTCAAACAAAAAGAAAAAATAAAGTTCAGGTTCTCACAGGGTGAGCTTTTCCCTGCTAATTCCAAGGTTTGTGAAATAAACTGTATGAAACAAGGTGGAACCATTAACTGTGTGAAATCTTCACTGCAAAGTTATGAAGAGAAGCCAACTTAAGAGTCAGAACAATGAAAACAGCTTTGAAAGACAGTCCGAGGACAGCAGATGTTACAGATGAACCACCTTTCCTGTTCCCTTACCTCTAACAGTTGGTAGAGTTAGAGTGCAGAGCCAGAAAGAGGAATCCTGGCCTGAATCTCCTTGAGGCAACCTGGGATCCCCACGCACAGGAATCTTTGCTCAACAGAGTACTCTGCACATGTGTGTGCGTGTCTGGACGTAGTACAGTGCGCAGGTGTGTGTGCGTGTCTGGACGTAGTACAGTGCGCAGGTGTGTGTGCGTATGCACATGTCTCTGCTCATGCATTTATGCATGTGTGCTAGGCATGCTCTTTCATATCTTTCTGCTCTCTGCACTTTCCACTATCTGGAAGAGAAAGAACTGTCCAAGGCCAAAGCCAGCTCAGTCTCTGACTTGTCACACCCTGTGGCCCAGCCCGCTAGAGTCCCTGCCTCTGATGGCCTCTGCAGCCCCCAAAGGGAACCCTAGGAAGACCTGAGTTCTTTGCAGAGTTTCCTTCTGCAGAGGGCTGCTGTACCGGGTTCGTCCTGCCCTGTAAGAGAAAGGTTGCCCTCCTTCTGTGCTGGCTGTGTGACCCTGGGGGAATTGCCGAACTTTCAGGTACCAGTTAAGGACACCATCCCCATTCTTCATAGAGGCTAGGACTTGCCCTGCTTTCCTTTCTGGGTCCTGTCTACCACTTCTGACCTAGCTAGCAGTCCCTGGGCCTGCTCACCTCCTGGTCCACTCTCTTCTCTGTCATTGTTATTTTCCTCGGTGTCCCTGGTCTTCAACAGAGTGCTGTTGTCGTGACATGCTTCACGGGACCATGCATCCTGGGCTGCGGGGCACAGTGCTGTCTGTACAGCCACTGGGGCCTTTGAAGAGGGTCTGCAGGAGAGAGGTAATGAAGAAAGCAAGGCTGAGCAGCAGGAAGCCACTTGGAAGAAAATCAGCTACGTTAAGATGAAAGGGGAAGAAAGAAAAGATGAAAGGGAAATGTGCTCAGGGCAGATCTTTTCCAGAAGAAACAAAAATGTGGCAGAAACAGAAAAGTGGTGCCAGGATCCTAAGGAAAGCAAAAGGTATCATAGGAAAGTAATTCCCAGCCTGTTAGATGTCATATGTGCCACGTTCATGTGTCTTGACAACTGACAAATGGACATGAGGAAGAAGGACATTAAAAGTAGGGACAGTGAACCAAGACCTGTCATGTAAAGGTACAAGATCCCAATAATGAATGTAACTGTACTGTATACCTAAAATGTACCAATAAACTCAACAAGGAAAAAATACATATATAAAAGTAAGGAAAGTTTGAGAGGAACCCTTGAAAAATGGGTGGTTGGGGAGAAAGCTGCTGCCAGGCTCTTTGGGGGTTCTAATGAATGAAAATGAAAACGACTGCACTGGGCCAAGCTGAGGCTACCCTGTGGGCTTACAAGTATAGTCGCTTAGCCAGTATCAGTCCATTAGGGAAATGAGGTACATAACGAGGGTGTACTGTGTACCTTCACCTCAACTGAACTTCTAGCTTAGAGAAATCAAAGGCATCTTGGGTAAGGGATAGGAGTCCGGGTCAGGGTGTCCTGGTCCCATGTCTGTGCATCTGACACCTTACCTGGCCTCCCTGGATCAGGTGGTGCTGCTTACATAAGATCTCAAGCTGCTGTCTATGTCTAGGGAGGCTTGGGGGCCCAGCTCTCTTAATTTATCTCCAGCCACAATTTCGATGTGTCTCATCTTTTGTACTGACTCTTTTGAGGGCCTGGCCCCGCTCCGACTGCCTGTTAAATTTTATCTAACTTAGCTGACTATAATAAAAGCACACAGTTAAACTCGGACTTTAGAATTTATAGGGAGGTTCACCTAAGGCTGGGCACCTCTCAGTGGGCCTCCAGGTAAGACTGACAGGAGTGATTGACAGGGTGCTGAGTCATACTGAATCCGGCATGTGTTCCATAGTTCACTCTGATTAAGTTACAGCAACAGTGGGAAGATTGGCCCTGGGATGTTGTCCAAATTTGGGTGGAAGGGAGCGACTTCCTCAGTCCTCAGTGTTCCCTCTGAAATACTACCTCAGTGCCCTAAAACTTGGAGGTGGGAGATTTGTCTGGGCCTTGGCGAGGAGCACAGACTGTTTCTGTTTGTGCCTTGCTTCCTCCCTGCAGAAGGAAACAGTGGGGTATTGAGTCACAGAGAAAGGCACAGCCATCCTTGCCCTCTGGTCAGTTGGAGGCCAGCGATCTCCTGTTCTTCTGTGATAAGCCTGTCTTCCTGGGAGTGGCAGGACCCTAGGATAAGACAGAGCTTTGAGGCAGGCAGAAGAGGCTGGTTGTGCACCACTGCTACCACAGTTCTGGGTGCTGTGCTCTTCCACAGATCTTTTCCAGGCTCTTGTCCTAAACAAAGAATTAGATAAGAAATGAGGTAGTGAGGTTTTACATTTATTAAAGGGAGAAACAAGTATGCTATGCAGAATGAATGCAGGCCAATTAAAGGTAGGAAAAGAAGAGGAAAAGCTCACAGCAGCCACAAGGTTCATAGCTGCCATCTTTTATACCCCAATTGTGGTATCAGATTTAGACTGTCCTATAAAAAACCTGCTTGATGTGTGCCAGAAGAATTGAAGTTGCACTCTCTGATTAGTCCAAGGTGCAGGCTTGGAAGCCATTCTGTGTGTGTCCTGGCTCACCGTGACAGGCCACACCCATTTGCCGAGCCACTTTGCCGTGCCCTAATCTCTTGCTCTCCATGGTCCCGGAGAGACAGAATCCCTTGCTCCCCTCCTGCGTGGGGCCTATTCCACAGCAGGATCTGTGATTCTTGACCACCACCCCTTCCTGCCTGACCAAGCCAAACCAAAAAGTTCCCCTTTGGTTGGGGTTTCCCACATTATATTCTTAAAAAAAAAAAAAAAAAACTGTTTTACCTTTTAAGTAGAACTTTTCCAAGCTTATTTAACTGCTTTCCATTTTAATATGCAATCTAGAAACTGGTGGTTTAGCTAATTATGGAAATTTTGTTTCTAATTTCTTCGTTCTCAGATGATTTATTTTTGGATTAGGGTCTTGAGGATTTTTTTTCTCTTCCTTTCACATGTATAACTTTTTATCTTATCTAATAATACATATTTGCTCATTTTTCTTCTGACTTCTTGCTACTAGATATTGAACCCAGGACCTTCACAATGAGCTACATCTCCAGCCCTTTTCTTTAAAAAAAAAAAAAAAAAAAAAGTCTTTTTCAGACAGGGTCTTGCTAAGCTGCTCGGGGTTGGCTTGTAGTTTTGATCCTTCTGCCTCAGCCTCCCATAGTGTTACAAGTTTTTGGGGGTTCCTGAAGAGATTCTTTCTAGCTTCTTGCCAACCTGAACAGAATTGGATAAGACACACAGTAAAGGCTGCTATTTTACATTTACTGAAGGAAGAAAAGAAGTATACTCTGCAGAGAGATCGTCACCTTTATTCCTATTTCTCTACTTTTTCATGAATCATTTAAGAGTGAGTTACAGCTTGATGCCCCTTTATGCCCACTTATTTCAGTGTCAAATTATTAAATATAAGGGCTCCTGTGCCAGAAGCACAGTCTTGCTATAAATTCAGGAGACCAACCCTGATGGAGTTGTGTGTCTGTGCAGATCCTTAGAGGTCCCAAGCACTCTGCGTTGTGTCATTTTTAGCAAAAGGAAGGTTACCCATCCCGCCCGTCCTCGTGACCGTGACCTTGTGAGTGAAACCTGGTTCCACAGGACATGATGTGGCTCTGTTTGTACCACACGATGCCCTGCTGAGGGTGATTCTGTGTCCTCGTCACCCAGTCCTGTTGGTAGGAAGTTCAGGTCCATGCGCCACATGCCCGGCGGTGGGAATTTGAACACTCAATAAAGTCGGCCTCGACCTGGTTTCGGTGCTCTAGCTAATATTTTCCCTTGTATAAAATTTATCTATGAAAAGTACAACACTCTAGACCAGTGGCGGTGAGCCTATGGCGTGTGTGCCACAGTGGGCTCTTTGGATCATTGAAAGCTTTAAAAGGTTCTCCTTTGCTGCTTTAGACTATGGAAAGATTCACTTTCTCATCAAACTTTCCTTCGCTCGTTTTAGTCTTCTTTGAAGATCTCTTCCTTAATCAACTGCTACTGGATTAACTGCCAAATGCTGATGTTTAAATCCATCAGTGTTGGATTTATTTGGTTGGGATTCTTCTCTGCTGTCCCTTTATCTGCTCATTTCTTCCTAACACCTATACGGATTCCTGAATTCCTGCTGTATTTCATGCATTGTAACCCATCGCTTCTGTGATCTTGATACCCTGATTTAAGCCCCCAAGTGCTTTCAGAGCCTTATTTTGCACACTTCCTGACTTCCGGGCATAGAATATCCCAGCCTCGCCATGTAATTTCCCTTCTTTACCCCACAGTCAGCCATAGCTGAAGGGTCCCTGGTTCCTTTCAGTGGCGAGGGACACTCCAAATGACAGAGCAGGTACTGTCTGCTGTTGCCACTAAAGGCACTCAGATCCCAAAGCCCCTGAGTACAAGGTATGATCAGACAACATGGTGAATGTTTGAAATTTTTTAATTTACTTCAGTAAAAGATACATTGCTATGAATCACCCTCAAGATCCTTTCCCTCACTTCCAGCATTTCCTGCAGCAGCTCTGGAGTCCTCTCTCCTGAGGGTCTTTAGTTGTGCTGTCCTGGCTGCCTCCATGTCCTGAATTGATTCAAAATACTGACCTTCCATAGTCATTTTCACGAAGATCCAGGACCACACAGTGCCAGGTCTGGTGAATAAGGTGGAGAGGACACAGCACTGTGTTGTTACCAGCTGCCTTCCCATGGGATGGCAGTGAACAGCTGTGTTCGCCATACTTTCGATGACACCTCATAAAGGTACTCAGGGAAGAGGACTCCAGAGCTGCTGCAGGAAGTGTCCACAATGAAGGGATGAGCATGTTCAAAGTGAGGGACAGGGTTTTGAGGGGCTTCACCATACATTTTGATCATCCGTGTATTACAACTTGCGAGGCAGGGCTTAGAAGCATGCGTGTGTGTGTGTGTATCACTACACTTGGGATGTAAGAAGCACTAACGTCCTGTTGATGATTTTTCATCCCCAGGCTCTTTCTCCTCCGTGATAGTCAGAGTAACCCAAAGGCCTTTGTCCTCACACTGTGTCATCACCAGAAGATTAAAAATTTCCAGATCTTACCTGTAAGTACTGACAGCTCCCTCACCTGTGCATTTCAGTGCAGTTTCCAAGTTACCAACTCATGGGGTACCTTTGAGCTTACAGAGGAGATTTCCCAAGTTTTAAGAGTTGTTCTTTGAACTTGGGAGCGGGGTCTACCTGGAAATGCTGCTGAGTGTGGTGGTTCCATGCCAAGGCCTGGTATGCCTTGGATTCTGCCCATGAGTTAGCTCTCGAGCATAACAGAGATGTCACCCATCCAGGAGGACCCAGGGTGGGGGGCTCAGGAAGACGTGGAAGGTGATGGTCACCAAGGGCCACAGGCCCCTGAGTACATGTAGATGGGAAGACAGGAGCCCTGTGGCCGGTTTGCTGTCAAGAACATTGGGCAGAAACTCACTCATGGCCCTGGAGAAAAATTGTGTTCTTCCTTTCACCTGGTGGTTGGATCAGAAACCAGATTCTTGCTGTTCACAGAGCAGTTACTATTAGACTGTCTCTTGCGTGTGAACTCCTGCTCAGTTTGCCAAATTCAAATTCTATTTCCTGACTTGGGTGTTCTCCGGGAATTCCCCTTGCATTTGGGGATATGATGCCCAGAGTCTATACCAAGCGCTTCACACCGCACACTGGTAAATTCTGCAGGCACTGATAGCTGTCATGGAGTTCTTCCTGCAGAACTCAGAGGCAGGAAGTCGCCACACAATCCCCTCTCAGACTCGGAGCACACACTGTCGAGGAAAAGATCTGTAAAGCCCTGACAGACCAGTGGCAGCCATCTCACATGGTTACTTTGCAGGAACCCTGGGTCCCCAAAAGCTCCCTGCATCCGCGAGCACCATTGCAGCCATTGGAAGCCATGGGCTGGGACAGAATGTGTAGTTAGCTTCCAAGAAGCTGGGGACCGAGCTCCAGGCGCCTCCTGTCGCGCCTTCCCTTGTTTCCCACGTGTGCTTCTCATGTGTGCCTACATGAGCCTTTCCTAGAGGAGGAAAATGAGCACTTGCCCACAGCACATTCAGGGAAAGGAGCGGAATCTGGTTCAGGCCGAACTCCAGCTCCCGGGCTCTGCCATATGTGCAAGCTGGAGATTGTCACTTGGGAGCAGTCTGCACTCTCCGGTGCTTTTCTGATGCACTGTGTTGCAGAAGCAAATGCTAAGATGCTCTCGGATTAAAAACGATAAAATGGGGAAGTTTCCATTGTGGGCAGTGTGTGTGATCCATTCTCCGGAAGGGCCCTGCTGGGTAAAGCGGATGACAGATTTGTCCCTGCCATCTCCCCTACCTTCCCTGGAAGTGAGCTCAGTTCCTGCAGTGTCCACCATGCCCTGGCTTCATGGCTGCCAGGCGAAAGGCTCTGGGCTGCTTCGAGGCCTGGACCTGTTGCTTCTCCTGCATCCCAGTACTTACTGTGCACTGACACTTGACCTGAACACTAAATTTTCTTGTAAAATTCTACAAGGTTACAATAAACCCACAAACTCAAAAACTTATATACAGTAACATTAGAAAAATACAATAAAATTAGAGGGCAGAAGGGGAGCCATTGACTGAACAATACTCAACTGTATTTAGATAGGAGAGGCTGCATGCTGTTACACATCAGGGATACTGCAGAAAATAGTTCTTCACTGTGTAGTCCAAAAAGTAGAAGGAAGGATTTTCAAGGTTTTCCCATCCAGAACTGATGTTTGAGGAGCTAGGCATATTTTAGCTGACTTAAAACTTTCTACACTGAGTACACGTAGCAAAACACTACGTGAAACCTCCATGTATAAAATATATATAATTCTTACGTTTTTATGTGTCCGTTTAAAAAGATAAAAAGAGAAGGATTGTAAATCTAGCTGTGCACAGTGGTATACAACTACAATCTCAGCTCTTTGGGAGGCTGAGGCAGAAAGATCATGAGTTCAAGGCCAGCCTGGTCACTTAGCAAGAGAGACTTTGTCTCAAAAATAAAAATAAGACATGAGGATGTGGCTCAATGCTCTCTGGATTCATTTTCCAATGCCAAAATAAATAAATATAGCTCTGGGGCACAGTGCAGAGTTCCTGTCCTAATGAAGACATCCACCAGGTAGTCCAAGAAAACTGGGGGAACTGGGAGAGTTGCTTTCCCTCTGCGACATCATCGGTCCTTCCTAGTCAGGTGACAGTTGTCCATCCTGGGGGTTGTGCGTGCCCACACCCAGGCCCCGAGTCTGGGGTGCCCTGCATGTAGGGTGAGCGGACTCTAACCTGGCCAGTGTGCTCTTGTGTCCCTGCAGTACGAGGATGACGGGCGGATCTTCTTCACCCTGGACGATGGGAACACCAGGTTCTCTGACCTGATCCAGCTGGTTGACTTCTACCAGCTCAACAAGGGAGCGCTGCCTTGCAGACTGAAGCATCACTGCATCCGTGTGGCCTTATGACCTCAGACGCCTGCCGGCGACACCACAGGAAGCGGACACTGAAAGGAAGAGAGGAGGACACACCCACCCTGCACCTCGGGACTCGCATGGCTATGCGCGTTCCTGCAGTGCCAATGGCCAAGAGCAGCTAGTTAGGTGGAATTCATGGCAGCTTGCTGGCTGCGGACCTCGATGCCCCCTTGTACCCCAGGGAGGGCTCAAGGGGTCCCGAGCAAGCCCGGAAGAAACTGGAAGGAGCGTCTTGGCTAGGCCCCTAGAAGGAGATAGAGCGGAGGAAGCGGAAGCGAACTCTTGCCCTGGGATAATCTTGACAATTACAACTGCTATGTTTACTTTTTTGTATTGATCACTTCTGCACTCCTCCTTGTGTTGTCCGTATTGTACTCAGCTATGGTGGAGGGGTGTGGCTTTTCCTTGCGTGTGTGAGACAGGAAGCGTTTCCATTTGGCAGACTGCAGGCTGGAGAAGGTCCCCAGAGGATGGGCCATACCCCTTGCAGGTTGTCACTGTGTGGATTCAGCTCCCAATTGCAAATTTCCCCTTGCCCTTCCCGGTATACTTGAAAAGCTTTTTTTTTTAATAAAAGGTGTCTGCTGTGGTCGGCACTCGGCCGTCTTGTGGACTCAGTCTCGCCGCCACAGCCCTGGTCACTGCCGTGCGCAGCCGTCTAGCCCTCCTGTCATTAGGTGTCTTGTTCCTTGTGGCGCTAGAGACGTCACATGTTGGGAAGTGCGTGGTCCCCACACAGCCTGGCACAGGGTGCCACGAGGGGTGCAGGCCAGCCTGGGGGACACAGTGGGCACTGAGCAGCCCACACAGAACCTGGCCCCGTGTTTCTGTGGCCTCTGCAGTGGCCCTCATCATTTCCCGATGGTCTCCCCAGCGGTTCAAGAATTTGAAAAGGAAGTGGTACCCGGTTGGCTGGGTGCTACATCCTGTGGGTTTCCATGGTGATGAAGGCCAGCAAACATGGCCCGGGGCACAGGTCCAGGCTGGCACATTTTTAAAAGGCCTCTGCTTGGTGGCCCCTGTATCATGACTCCCAGGCAGGCACCTCACAGGGCTTGAGGACTCCCGGGGTCCTTCGTCATGTCCCCTGAGCTGAGGTACCAGCTGTGAGGTGACCGCAGGACCCCCTGGAGCAGCAGTAGACTACTGTGCCAGGCGGATCACCGTCTTCCCCGTGGTCATGCCTGACCGGCTCCTGTGACAGCCAGTACTGGATCGCCTGGCTCTCCCCAACATGCCCCAGCCCCTCCCCCAACGTGCCCGGCCCCGCCCCTGCGTGATCCCAGCCCCTGCTCCCAATGTGCTCCCAGCTCCACCCCCAACGTCTCCTGGCCCTGCCCCTGTGCCGCCTGTGACAGTGACGTGCGTAGTTCGGCGCCGGTGACAGACCAGCTGCCCGTGAGTCTGGTGTAGAAACACTGTATCTTAGTTTACAGCCCACACTCCAGTCGTGTCCGTGCAATGTCTGCGTATACAAGTGAAGAATCCTCTTTAGCAAACGTGCTGTTGACCATCTGTGCTGGTGGCATTTCCTCCTTTGCAGCCGCTTAGTCGTCCCAACTGTTGGCTCCGAGCTCTGCTGCGTTCCCGCCTGGTAGCGTGCGCACCTCCACCCATCCGTGTGTTAGGGACGGGGCTGTCAGGGCTGCCACTGCACCCTTGTCTTTGGGTGGACGTGAGATCTTTAAAAAGGAAAAAAAAAAATTCTAGAAGATTGTTTTCTGTTTACGTAGACCAGTCCCCACAGTGCATAGCCTCGAACGCCCATCCGGGAGACAGCTAGGATGTGCAGCATTTCCTACTTATGAGTATGCGTTTTACTTAAAAGGCGGATGAGAGCTTGACTCTGATTCAGTTTATTTGTAGCTGGTCGCTGTATTCTTTTGTACCCCAGCCAAAGTGGTGCCCCACTCCCCTTGGTCGCCTGGCCGCCTTGCACGGGGGCTGGGAATTCCACGCGACAAGAGCTTGTCCCCGGGGCTGTGGGCGTCCAGCCCCTGGCAGGGACGGACGGACATTTGACTTTTATTTTTGTATTTAATTGACATGAATGTAAAGGGGACAGCTCAGGGTTGTTTTGGAGCCTGTTGACTTTTGAATCTCTGCCTGTGCTTTTTCTAAAGGAAAACTCCATGTAGCAACCTGGACTAAATCGAGAAGGAGAACACCAAATGCTTTGGGTATTAGCAGCTCGTAGGGAAGCCCCGTCAATAGGTGTTAGAATTCCAGAATGTGTTTTTGTTTGGTAAATCTTGAAGAAACATGTGCCTCAGCTTAGCTGTTTTGTCTTCTCCTTTCTGCACTTAATACCTGACCGTCTGCCTGCCCACTGCGCCTGCGTGGGGGTGGGCCGAGCTCGTTGTAGATTTGTGATGTTGTAGTACAAGCTCCAGTGACCATGCAGTGGCCTGACGTGTGCGCATTTTCAGGGAATGCAGAAGGTGTTGATTCTGAGACAAAACCTTTACTCCGTGTGCTTTGCTTCATTCTGTATATAGCTCTTTGGCTCGTGAACCTAATTGTAAACTTTCAGGTATTTTTGTACAAATAAGGGACTGATGTTCTGTTTCTTGTAATTAGAAATAAACATGAATACAGTGTTCTTCATTTTCTACTGCTTGGAAAGTCTGTGTCTGTGTTTAAAAACATCCTCGCCGGCCGCCCACAGCTAAGACGTAACTCACACCACCACATCTGTGCCCACGCAAGCGAGCTCAGCCTGGCGGCCAAGGGCTGGAAATGCAGTCTGTGAGGGCCATCACCACTGGCCTGTCCCATGCCCTCTGCTCTCACAGGAATCCCGGGGCTCAGCAGGTGTCTGAGAGTCATCCATCCACCGAGGTTCAGCAGAACCTGTATGGCATTCACATGTCACAAACCCAGTGCCATTTTTCCCCCTGCAGTGGGACAGTGAAAGTGTAAAGAACTTGGGTTTTCTGGTCAAATAAACTGAAGCGGGGCATGATGGTACGCACATATAATCCCACCACTCTTGAAGACTGAGGTAGGAGGATTCCAAGTCCAAGCCCAGCATTGGCAAGTTAGCTACTTAATGAGACCCTGTCTCAAAAAATAAGAAAGGGGCTAGGGTTATTGCTCAGTGTGAGGGCCCTGGGTTCAATCTCCAGTAACACTGCCATAAAGATAAGGTGGAAGGAGGAGCACTGAGTCAGCTGGGGAGCTTGCCAGGAAGATGTCAAGGGTGACTGCCGAGAACGTGCGTGCTTCATAAAGCCCACGTGTGGTCTGTGCAGCATGACTCCACCAGTCGGATGTGACTGCTTACATTCGAACTAACTATACAAAGGAAAGTGTGGTGCTAGTCCCACAGCGAGTTCTCAGTAGCCATGGAACATGCTGAGGGGGGAAATTTTCTCAGAGTGTGTGTGTGCGTGTGTGTGTGTGTGGTGCTGGAATGGAACCCAGGGCGGCCCTGACAGCATGTTCATCGTCACAGAAAGTCCCATCTGTCACCCAGCCTTGTTCCCACTTACTGGTCAGGAGACGTTGGGTACAGTGAGTTCCAAGGAGGACAAAGTCACTTGATATCAGCGTCCCCTGTCCAGGCAATGCTCGCAAATCTTGGCTCTAGATCTGAGACCGAAGTCCCTCCACTTGAACAGCAGCTCAGTCACATGTTGCAGGCGACACAGCTGGCCAGGTAAGAACTTTGCGACAGAGTGGAGAGTACACTATAATCGCTTGTTTTGGTTTGCTGTACTTTCTGAGTCTGGCTGAACGCTGAGGACTCTGCTGCATGGACAGACACGGGATGTCTGAAAAATACAGCGAATGTTTTAAGTTTTTAAAAATTTATTATAGCAAAGACACATTACAATCAATTCCCCTCAGATTGCTTCCACTCACTTCAAACACACCCCTCCCATAGTTCTCGCCACTTCCTGCAGCAGCTCTGGAGTGCTCTTTCCACAGGGTCTTTAATTGTACTGTTGTAGTTGCCTCCATGTCCTGAACCAACTCACGGCATTTCCCCTTCCTGGTCCTATTGATATTGGTGAAGAGTCTCCTGGTGCCAGATCCAGAGAATAAGGTGGGTGAGAGGACACGGTTCGTGTTTTCATGATCCTGCTTTTCTGTTGGATGGCGATCTAGGCTTCTTTGCATCTTTTATATTTAAGCCTCACCATAATCCCTGTAAGCCTCACAGCCAACAAGAGAAAGATAGGAAATGTGAACAGAGCCACTGTTGGTCATAGATGCAGCTTCCTGTGAAGATTTGTCTGCTTGGAGAGGACCTGCTAGTCAGAACGACAGCACTAGCTATTTTTGTATTACTCAGCTTTCCTATCACAGAGAGACAGTGCCTGACACCCACAACTTAAAGGAGGGGAGGTTTAATGTGGCTCATGGTTCAGGGGATTCAGTCCATGGCCAGCTGGCACCAAAGTGGGAGCATCATGGCAGATGGATGTGGCAGGAGCAAATCTGTCCAGTTCATGACAGCAGGAAGCAGGGCAGGGGAACAGCGCCAGAGGAAACACAGGGGGGCAGGTACATATGCCATGGTCATGCCTCCCTACCCACCCAGATACCCCAAAGGGTAATCACCAGCCTTAGAGGTGGCTCCCAAAGCCAATCAAGTTTATGCCGCACCCCAGCCATCACAGTTTTCTGTAAACTTTTCTGTCTTGCACTCCATTCACTGTAGCGCTTTTATCCAGTACCATTGCTTCAAATTTCATCTCAGCACTTTCAAATTGTAGCTTTATTTCCTGTCCATATCTCTTTCTGAGCTCTAAACTCAAAAATATCATATCAGCAATGCACGCATGTTTACAGCAGCACAATTCAAGCTAGTTGAATATTGGAAACAGCATATATGTCCATCAAGTAATAGATAAAGAAAATCCATACACAATGGGTTAACTACTCAGCCATAAAGAAGGGTGAACTTCAGTCGTGTGCAGAAAAATGTACACACCTTGAAACCATAATGCTTGCTTAATGGAATAAATCAGGTTGAATATCAGAAGATTTCCTTCATATGAGAAACCCAAGGCATCACTAATGTACAGAGCAAAGTAAAAGAGGATAGGAAAAGAGCAGATAAACTTGGTAGAGGTAGCATGTGGGCCTGGGGATGGGTAGAGAGGCAAAAGTAAACAGGCAAAAAGGGCCGAGATGGGCTGTGTGTGGACCAGTCACCCGCGATGTATCCATTGTGTGTCACAAACATGCTAACAAAAGAAGATATTTGTAAGGAAAAGGGTACATACTGTGAGGAAGATGCCAACCTCCAGAGGCCACCAGGACCTCCCCCCGCTGGTGCCTGAAGCTGCAAACAGCTCCGGAGCAGGGTTTTGAGCATCCTCTCGCCAGAGCCAGCACTGTCCCGCTGGTCCCCAGCCATCTGTGAGTGCACACACACACACACACCCCTCCAGCATGTCCCTGGGTCTCTGACCTCCTGTAGTAGGACAGGGGATGGCTGCATACTCACCTCTCTCAGATCCACACCCCCCACGAGAGAGAGCAGTGCGAGTCTGAGACACGGGGAACCCCCAAGCAGCTGCTCCCCGGAGAACTGCAGCACCTTCCCTTGCAGTGGGTGTACATGTGTGCCATGGCTCGCAGCACCCCCTCTTCCCGTGGTCCTTTTGGGTTGGTCTGCCATACCTGGATGACACTGAGCTCTCTCCAGCCTCAGAACTGTCCCAGACGCTGTGCCCACTCAGTGCCCTCCTCAGCTCCCAGCACAGGGAGCCAGGCCTGGAGCCCTGTGTGTGCCTCTCCCCTCCCTCCTGCCCCTTCGTTCCCTTCCCTCCTCTTTCTTCTGTCCTGTGGCTCTGGTGGAGGCTCCAGGTCCCCTCAGTGTCACTCCACCTCTCCTAGACGTCCCAATCCTGACATCTGGAACCCTCATCCCCCTCCACCCTGCCCTACCCCGGGTGGAGCACACAGACCTCTGGGCTGCTGCTTGCCATGACGCACAGCCTTGGTGATGGCTGCTCAGTCCTGCTGCTCATGCATGGCCTCCCCTGCCTCAGCTCAGTCCCCGCCCAAGCACCCAGAGCCCAGCTCTTCAGCTTCTCCGTGCAGGCGCTCAGCACCAGGCCCAGGAGCAAGGAAACTCTGAGACTTGGCCTTCTCTGGGAAGTTGTCAATGTCCCCTGCGTCTCAACTGTCCCTGCAGTGGCTCTGAGGGAGAAGGTGAGCGGCTGGGGTGCAGTGATTCCCTGGCCCTGGAGACCCAGCCATGTTTACTGGGTGCAACTAGCACAGGAGGTTGTGGGTGCGGGGTTTCCTGCAGCTGCCAGAGCTCATGGGGTGACCTGACGGGGCTATATCTTGGCACTAGAGCTGTTTAGGAGAAAGGAGGAAGTGCCAGGGCTGGGAGAAAGCGGGCTGTCCAGAAGGCACTTCTGTAGGGTGTAGGCACAGCTGTGCCTTTTGAGCCCAGATTGCCATGACCTTTATCACCAGCCTGATTAATGCTTAACCAGCGCTCCCTGAGACAGGCAAGACATGAGGCTCCTAGATGCAGAGACGGTCTGCACCAAGCCCAACTGCTTCTCCACTGCTGGGAACCAGTGCCAGGCAAGGCCCCTGCAGGACAAAGCACTGGGAGTAATTCAAACTCCTGGCAAGTGAGTCTCTGCATTTGTTCTCTCTCTGGTGGAAGTGACTGGACACAGTGCCACTTGGTCCTCCAGGACAGAACAGCCCACATGATGAGAGAGGCACTATGGCGGAAGCCTTCCTCTTCTGCTGAGGGCTGAGCAGAGTTCAGTGCCGTGTGGATTGTGAGCTGATTGTGCAAGTGTCCACACACATGCATGCACACACAGGTGTGTGCATGTGTCTGCGGCTTTGTAGCAAATGCTGTGAGACACGGGTACCCCTCTGCCTGCCACGTGCCACTGTGTGGCCTTGGGCAGCCCCTGCCCTGAGCCTCTGCATTTCCCTCTGAGTGGAGCTGTGAAGGTCCCTGACTTTCCGGGTTCTCATGGGATTGGATGCCACGGGCATGGACATGGTGGATGCATGTGTGGGAGGTGACAGTGAGCAGGAACCCATCTTTGGCCTGAGTAGCTCCAGTGGTTCCATGAGGGCCTCTCCTCCTGACGTCCATGGCTTCTCCTGAGCAATGCCAGCTGGGCAGTCAGGGTCTTCCTGCCAGCTCATGTGCTGAGGATACTGTCCCTCAAGGGTTCCACAGACACTGAGGTCCACTCCTTGGCCTCACCAGCCACGAGCTAGCAGCTCCCAAGTGTCAGGCTGTGCCGGGCTCTGCCTAGAGAAGGACTCTTAGTGTGCCTCTGTAGCCACGGCCCAGCTCACGAGTGGGCGAACCAAGACGGAAGAGGGCGGAGGCTGGTGGGAGGCCCTGAGCTGCTGTGGGCGGGCCAGTCTGGAAGTGCTGTCCTCGCAGGCTGGCCTCTCCCCTCAGCAGTGCCCCAGGCTCTCGCTGTCTGGGCTGAGCTGGGAGCAGGTGCTGATGCGGCTGCCCCAAGAGCTTTCTGTGCTGCTGTGCTCTCAGAGTGGGGATCTGCACAGCATGTTGGAGCCAGGGTGATGCGGGTGCTCTTAGAACCTAAACTGTAACTTTTGGACATTAAAAATGACCAAATGACACACAAAGGGAAGCAGCCATAGCATGCAGTACTGTCCCTCAGCTTCACTTTACCCTGGTCACCCAGGGACAAAGAGGCTTGAGGACAGCAAATGCAGCCTGAGCAGGGAGAGGCACACAGTCATTTGAGTAACCGACTCAGTAATTTAGGGTGTGTGGGGGCGGGGAGAGAAACAGAGACAGAGAGGCAGAGAGAGACAAGGTCTCACCAAGTTGCCCAGGCTGGGCTTGAACTTGCAGTCCTCCTTCCTGAGCCTCCAGAGTGCTAGGATTACCAGCATACACCTGCCTTAATTTATTTTATTGTATGAAATGACTACGGTTTCTCTCCACCTAGAATATATTTCTAACCATGCATAGAACTTTAACTGTGCTAAGGAAATCCTGATATAATGATGCCAAGAAAAAAATAGCTGCACTATCAGAGTGGGAAACTTCAGCACATCTTCACCAGAAACTCAGTCACCTTGGTTTATCGGCACCTAGTGCGAGGTGGCCACACTGAAGTGAAAAACACAGGGATCCTACAGCACTGTGGAAACAGATCCTACCAAGATGCAGCAGCTAAAGCAAAGTGTCGCCCTGCGCTGAGCTTGTGTTCAGTGAGAAAAGTTCTGCCCTAGTTCAGGTTGGGATTGAATTCATGGAACAAAGTGAGATTCAGCATGTCTTCCTGCAAGGGCTCATGAGGCTGGGAAGTTAGGACAAGGACAGGAAGAAAGGACACTCTCACAACTCAGGTCCTGGGACTGTCTGTGTGGAAAGGCACAGAATTAATTGGCTAAATAAAAGTCTTAAGGACTTTAATCAGGTAACCAGGATACCAACGAGTACATAAAACTCAATCACAGGGTTAGACATTAGCAGTAAACATCTAACTTCTTTCTTATTGGCCTGCAAAATCTTTTCAGGTACTTATGACAGATTGTGTGTCTGTTCATGACAACTGCTCTTTTCCTACGAGTTATCTTTTTCATATCAAACAGGTCTTTTCATATTATAGATGGAACCCATAATTATCATCAAGGCTTTTAAAGGCCGTCTAGCTTCTAGTTCTTTTTTGGTACCAGGAATTGAACTCGGGTCCTTGCACTTGCAAGGCAGGCCACCAAACCACTGAGCTAAATCCCCGGCCCTCTAGTTCTTTCTTAATAACATACTCAAATCTGTCAGTCTATTATGATCAGCTGAAGAGTGACTCATTTAAGAAATCCTTCCAATCCAATGTCATAAAAATAATCTCTGACTTCTAGGAAACTTACCTTTTACAGCAGCGCAGGGTGATACACACCTATAAGCCCAGCTCTCTGGGTGGCTGAGGCAGGAGGATTTTAAGTTCATACTCAACCTGGACACTTTATAGACTTAGAACCTGTCTCAAAAAAATTTTTTTAGAAGTACTGGGGATATAGCTTAGTGCAAAGGCCCTGGATCCAATCCTGAGTACAGAAAGACTAACTAAATAAACAAACTTTTACAGTGAAGACTCCAACCCATCAGGATCTAATTCTTGAGATGGTGTAGGGAAGGGATTCAGCCTTGCTCTTTCCAAGCAGAACCCAACAGCTCAATGTCTCCCTGCTGACCTGCAAGGGCCAGGAGTCAATTCCCCATGTTTCTAGGAGTCCCTGAGCTCTCCAAGCCATCT